ATTTTGGTCCAGCGCCCTCTAGTGGCCAGATTTGGCCCTTTTTTCTAGTTTTTTTCCAGCGATTTTGGACCAAAGGATGTTCGATTCGATGCCCTCTGACTATCGCGTTTAACTCATCGTGCAAAAATACTCAGATTGCATCCAATTCTTTAAAAAAAGAAACAAAAGTTAAAGCTCCAGTCCCAAAATCTGAGTGTTTCTGTGTATTTTTTCCCCCTTAAATATTCAAATATCCGTCTCCCATTTTCAGCACACGAGTCATTCTCCTGTTCCCCAGAAATTAGATCATAGCACACAGGGAAGTTAGGAGCCAGACGGCAAGTATGCTTCCCATGGAAATCCTTTTTTCATAGTTTCATTTTCCCCCTTGTGTCGTTTTTGCCTGATCAGCAACATTCATTCGTTTTCGTTTTTTTGTTTTTACCCCTCCAGACGTTTTTTGCCTTTTTTGTGTCATTGTATTTGCATGCAACACATCCAGAAACCTCCGTTTTCGGTCATGTTGACTTTTCTCTCCATGTTAGTCTCTCTTTTTTTTTTTTTTTTTTTAAAGTCTCCAGATAACTTTGGCGTTTAGTTTAACTGTTGCTCTGCCTCTCTGTAGAGTCAGTCCAGTAACAACATGCAGAAACACAAGTCTTCTTCCTCCTTCACTCCGTTCATCGACCCGCGCCTCCTCCAAGTTTCCCCCTCCACCGGCAGCGCCCTCAATAATGTCGGTAGGTCTCTCCACACCTGCTAGCTTCGACCTAAAAACAGCCATGAATGTATCTATCTCCATATCCTGCGACCTCAGACAGAAACGGTTCATTTGTGGTACTTTACAGCTACTGTTTTTTTAGTAGAACAGCTCATTTAGTTTTTATGATCATAAATATTCCCAAAAGTAACCCTTTAAAGCCTGATCCAAGAATAAAACAAAACAGAAAATAACTTTTTTTTTTTTTATTCCTTATTTGGCCTTTTAACAAAATATGTAAAAAGAAAAAGCAAAAATACATTTTTTATATTAATAATTTATTACTATGCGATAAGTCAAGATCATTTTTTGTGTAGTCTTCTGCCCCCTGTTATCAGGTGTATCTGTGTGAGGAATTACTACTGAATTTGTAAACACTTAGTTTTAAGTATATAGTGTATATAACACTAAAGTCGGTGCACTGAAAGAACCCAGATGACCCCCTAAAAACGGTAAAAGAATCCAGTGTGGCACTAAACGGACGCCATCTTGACTACAAAGCGGAAGGGGAGGGACCAGGGACAACGGCGAGTTTTATATTTAGTAATAGTATTCAATTCAATTCAATTTTATTTATATAGCGCCACATCACAACAACAGTTGTCTCACAGCGCTTTCCAAACAGAGCAGGTCAGACCCTACTCTGAAGTTAATCACAGAAACCCAACAATTCCCACCATGAGCAAGCACTAGGCGACACAGGCAAGGAAAAACTTCCTTTGAACAGGCAGAAATCTGGAGCGGAACCATGGCTCAGTAATAGTAGTTAATAAGTATTGTGACATAAACGCAAATACCTATGTGAATCCGTTTGTGTGTATTTAGTTATTCATCAACTTAACCTGAGGAATTACTACTGAATTTGTAAAGAGTTAACATCTGGCGTCTGCCATTTTCAGACAGAATAACAAAACTAGACGAACCTGTACAGCGCTTTGATTTTAGCTTTGGCTGACTGAAAGCGCTTTATAAATAAAGTTGAGTTGAGTTGAGTTGAACCGAACCCCAGAGGCCAACGCCGACTGTCTGACTGATCCTCGCCCTTTGACCTTTGACCTTTCAGGCTACGCTAACGACGCCCGGCTGGCGGAGGCTCTGCGGGCCGACCCGTCCCGGAAGGGCTCGGTGGTCAACGTGAACCCGGTCAACACCCGCCCTCAGAGCGACACGCCGGAGATCCGCAAGTACAAGAAGAGGTTCAACTCGGAGATCCTGTGTGCCGCGCTGTGGGGTGAGAGTTTGGGCCTAAAGCCAAAAGATTTCCCTGCCTAACCCAGTCTGGAATTGTAGTCATTTTCCGACTTTTAATTTGAATGCATGTAGAATTTAAATTAAAAGTCAGAAAATGAGTACAATTCCACAATAAGCCTTTAATTCCCTTTTCAGAATCAGCAATTTACAGATACAGTTAACCATTTATTATTATTTTATTGTAATTATAATATCATTATATTAGGTCTTATTTTGGAAAAGAACAGTATGAAATACAACACTAGATTACACTTTTTGTCACCAAACACACTAAGTAGGCACACAGGTGGTTAGCTTAACACGGTTAGCTTAGCACGGTTTCCCATAAGAACTCTTGATATTTCATGTTTCTTAATGTGTTCAGAGAGGTGTTTTAAGTCTGTCTGTCCAGACTGTGTCAAATCCCTCCGGTCACTTTTAAAAAGGACTGTAGCAGGGGCGACAGTTCCAAGATGCTGATTTGCCAAATATTGATTAATTTTACCTAGCAACAATTGGTTATTTCAAATGAGCCCCAGAGGAGAAATTATACGTTCTTGGGTGGAAATGGGCTGTTGAATGAGAGTCAATTGGTTGAAGTGTTGTTTTAATAATCCATATTACATGTAGCCACACACTATTAAGTAAAACCGACATTGATAATACTTTTAAATCTATATATATTATGACTTTTCCCCTCCACATCCACACAAACCTCCTTAAAGCTTGACCTTAAATGGTGTAAAACCGGCCCTCCAGCAGTTTGCTCGTCCCCCACTAGGGGGCAGCACCGGCCCTCTGGACCGGCGGGCCAGTTTGTTGATAGATTGTCTGGGACCTGGTCTGGGGCTTTGGACCCGAATTGGGGCTTTGGACCCAGACTGGACTATGGTTTGGGACCTGGACTGGACTGGGGCTTGGGACCCAGACTGGGACCCGGACTGGGGCTTAGGACTGGGGCTTGGGACTGGGGTCTGGGACCCGTAATGGACTAGGGTTTGGGACCCCGACAAGGGGTATAAAAAATAAATTAATTAATTTTAAAAAAGGGTTTGGTACCCGGACTGGAGCCTGGGACCCGAATTGGGGCTTTGGACCTGGACTGGGACTAGGATTTGGGACCCGGACCGGGGATTGGGACCCGGACTGGAGCCTGGGACCCGGAACCAGACTGGGACCAGGACTAAGACCTGCACTGGACTGAAGTTTGGGGCCCAGACTGGGACCCAGACTGGGGTTTGGGACCGGGTCTGGGACTCGGACCCGGACTAGGACCCATACCGGACTGGGGTTTGGGCCCCAGACTGGACTAGGGTTTGGGACCCGGTCTGGGCCCCGGACCAGGCCTGGGACCCAGACCCATACCCGGACCCGGACCCGTCCTGGACTAGGACCCTGTCCCGGCTCTAGGACCCGGTCTGGGACCTGGACTAGGACCTGTTCTTGGTCCCAGTTCCACCTGTGCCTGTCTTTGTGTGTGTGTGGGACGGGACCTGGACTAGGACCCGGCCTGGGACCCGGTCTGGGACCTGTACTGGACTAGCGTGTGGGACCCGGACCTGGACTAGGACCCGGACCCGGTCCAGGTCCAGGTCCTGGTTCCACCTGTTCCTGTGCCTTCAGGCGTGAACCTGCTGGTGGGCACGGAGAGCGGGCTGATGCTGCTGGACCGCAGTGGCCAGGGGAAAGTTTACCCGCTCATCAACCGCCGACGCTTCCAGCAGATGGACGTCCTGGAGGGGCTCAACGTGCTGGTCACCATTTCAGGTAACCAACCCCCCACAACTCCGCCCACATCCAAGTCGGCCATTTTGATTAGTCACCAATAGGAAGATCCCAGCCAAGAAAATCCTAATTGCTTCAATATAGACATTAATTTAAAAATAGGGAAATTAATCTTGCAAACACTGAATTAAACTCTATACTAGGGTTGTCACGATACTAAAATTTTCAACTCGATACCGATACTCAGGAAAATACTCGATACTCGATACCATTTTCGATACCACAAGGATTAAAAAAAGACCCCCAAATTTAAATGAATTTTGACAGGTTTGTGTCTTTCATTTCAAACTGACCTGTTACTAATGTTATTGTGACTGGTGGCCTGCATTAATAACCCTAACCCTGACCCTAACCCTCCACTCTTCATAATTGTGAGAAATAAATATTTTTGGGTTAAATTTGTTTGTCCAAACCTATTTAACATACACTATTTTAACATAAGATTATGCTTAGAGTTTAATTAAGTGTTTGAAGGATTAATTTCACAATTTTTAAATGAATCTCTATATTGCCATGTGGCAATTAGGATTTTCTTGCCTGGAATCTTCCTATTGTTAATGTAACTATAATGGCCGACTTCGATGTGGGCGGAGTCGGATATGTACTTGATTAATGGTAGCACGTTATTATTAGCCATTAACCGAAGCTAGCAGTTCAAGGCTAACAACTTGTTAATGATCATAAACAACGTAAATAAATCAGAGAGAAGGGGCGCAGCGACGGCAGGTCAGCGGTGGTATCGATACTTTTGAAAATGAGTATCGTATCCGGATACAAAATTTTAGTATCGATACTTTTTTGAGTATCGATACTTTTGACAACCCTACTCTATACATAATATTATGTTAAAATAGTGTATGTTAAATGGTATATAAAAAATATATATATTTATCACGATTATGAAAGGTGGAGGGTTAGGGTTAGGTTTAGGATTAAAGGACATAATTTGTCTTCCGATTTCGTATAGACAGTAAAGTTTCGTTTCCACCTCAGAAAGCTGTTAGTCATATGACCTAATAAAAATGGCCGACTTGGATGTGTGAGGAGTTGGATATCCAACCGAGGCTCCTACAGACTGTAGGCCTTCAAAAAGAAAATTTCGAAAGACGTCTATATTTACTCTTTGGCGCTCAAGTGACCGAGAGAATCCGGTCATTTTTCAAAATAAAAGATTTGACAAACTAAAAGATTATTCCGACTCGGAGAATGAAGACAATGGAAACAATTGATTACCGTATTACTTGGGCTTATTACACACGGCTGCTCAGACGTGCGAGCGCCTCCTCGTTCACAACACTTCTCCTGTTTCTCAACCCGAACACACATGCAGTCACCGGTGTCACAACTCCATATTTTGAGCCGAACGGATGTTGCGCAACGCGGCGCTCGTGCACGCTGTGTCACACCGACACGCGTCTCCGCTTTCCGTGATGCCAGCGAAGGCCACAGAGTTGCACACTCGCCCCCTTTTCGCCCGAATGAGACTCATCTGCTCCGGTAGCGTGTAGAAAACGTCACGGATGGCGGTGGTGACATCACCTCTGACGACAACACAACGGAAACATTTACAAGCAGTGTAATGTGTAAAAACAAAAAAAAGCATGAAAGATGTTTTAGGTGTTCACCAGAGATTCCTCCTGGTTTAAAATATACCAAAAGATGTCCTCAGTCACACTATTCCTTCTAGAAACAGAATTTTAAGATATCAAAAATGAATTATTCTTTTATTTAATTTTTTACTTTTTAATTTTTTATTTAATTTTTAAATTTTTTATT